TATATATGTTATTGTGTGTGTGTGTGTGTGTGTGTGTATGTATGTATGTGTGTATATATATATATGTTATTGTATGTGTGTGTGTGTGTGTGTGTATATATATATATATATATATATATATATATATGTGTGTATATATATATATATGTATATGTATATGTATATGTATGTATGTATATTGTGCCATAGCCCACTTTCAGTTGTCTTGTCTCTTGTTTTGTTTTCATAGCTCTTCAGAGAATGAGCAGCTAAAAGTGTTAAATCTGGAGCAAAGGTTGTCCCTTGGTTCTGATGATGAAGTAGATCTTGTGCAGGAACTTCAAAGTATGTGTTCCAGCAAATCAGAGTCTGATATAAGCAAGGTAACATTGCGGTTTAAATAATTTACATCATAATCATATGTAGTTGTTTAATCCATAATAGATCTTAGATTTTAAAATATTTTTTTATTAACTGGAGACGTGCTAAAATATACTAATATATTATATGCGTGATAGATTTTATTATGATTTATTTTATTTTTTAAAAAGTTTAACCTTAAATGTCATGTCATACACTCAGGAATTTGCAGTGGATGCTAAAATGTATTGATTCATAAATGTTAGAGAAGCTAAAGTGCTATCAGATAATCTGCTTCAATGCATTATTGTTCTCCACATCATATTCTCTTTCACCAGCCTAATTTTAAGTGATTGAATCAGTTGTGTTTTCATTACTTCCATTGGGAGACTATTTCATAGTCTAATAGGAATATAAAGCTTTTCTGATGCACATTGTACACTTACTTTGCTTACCATAATCCCATTATACCTAATTATACCCTCAAGGATCTCCGTAAACAATTCCCTTGTTGTTTAAACCTTTCCAACAATTTTGTTTTATTGCACATTCTATGTGATCTTAGATACCAACAAACTTTTAATCAAGAAATAATTGTGGTGGAAAGCTTTGTAATCCTGTTTTAATTCCCTGTGAAGTTAAGTTTTAGCAGCTGTATGCTATGAGCCAGATGCACTGAAGCTGCACCAGCTAATCCCTTGGCATCTCAGCGGGGATTCACTCCAAGGCCATGTCTGGACTAGGGAAAATAGATGGTTTAAAAGCATGTTAGCTAACTCATTTTAACTAACATTTTTAAACACTTGGGTAGACAGGGTTTAACACTTTTAAAATGTATTTACTGGTTGTGGCAATTCTAAAAGGCATGGCTTAGGGGACAGCAGCTGGTGTCATTGACACTGTTCTTCCTAGCCAGAATAGGGAAGGACAAGATGAAGAATATTTAAAGAAATTAGATGTATTAAAGTTGGCAGAGCCTGATGAAATTCACCCTAGGACTGAAGCAATCTTGGAACCATTAGCAATTATCTTCACGAACTCATGAGGGATGGGTGAGGTCCTAGAGGACTGAAGAATGGCAAACATATATAGTACCTATCTTTAAAAAAGGGGAACAAAGAGGATCCGGGAATTATAGACCAGTCAGTCAGCCTAACTGCGATAACTGGAAAGATTCTTACAAATTGATTGTTTAATAATTTTGCCAGTATCTAGAGTATAATAGGGTGATAAGTAATAACCAGTGTGGATTTATCAAAGAATAAAGCATGCTGACCCAGCCCAATTTCCTTCTTTGACAGGGCTACTGGCTAGTGGATAGGGGCAGAGAAGTAGACATGATTTATTTTGAATTTAGTTACGTTTTTGACACTGTACTTACATGATGTTCTCAGAAGCAAACTAGGGAAATATTGTCTAGATTAAATTACTATAAAGTGGGGCCCAAATGGCTGAAAAACTGTACTCAAAGAGTAGTCATGGTTCATTATAAAATTTGGAGGATATATCTAGTGGGATTCCATTGATGACTTGGATAATGCAGCAGAGAGAATGCTTATAAAATTTGCAGATGACACCAAGATGGAAGGGGTTGCAAGCACTTTTGAGGACAGGGTTAGAATTCAAAATGACCTTGATAAACTAGAAAATTGGTCTGAAATTAAAGTTGAGTAAAAATTGAATAAAGAGAAATTCAAAGTATTACACTAAGGAAGAAAAAAATCAACTGCACAGCTACAAAATGGGGAATAAGTGGCTAGGCAGTAGTACTGTTGAAAAGGATCTGGGGGTTATAATGGATCACAAATTGAATCTGAGTTAAAAATGTGATGCAGTTGCAAAACAGGCAAACATTATTCTGTGGTGTGTTAACAGGAGTGTTGTATGTAAGACATGATTAGTAATTGTTTCGCTCTACTCAGTGCTGGTGAGGCCTCAGCTAGAGTACTGTGTCCGATTTTGGGTGCCATGCTCTAAGAAGGATGTGGACAAATGAGAGAATCCAGAGCAGAGCAACAAAACTGTTAAAAAGTTTAGAAAACCTGGCCTATGAGGAAAGATTAAAAAAATTGGGCATGAGAAAAGAAGGCGGAGTAAAGTATGAAAATATGTTAAGGACTGTTATAAAGAGGATGGTCATCAACTGTTATCTATCTCCAATGAAGGTAAAACAAATTTAATCTGCAGCAAGGGAAATTTAGGTTAGATCTTAGGATAACTTTCTAACTACAAGGACAGTTAAACACTGGTATCAAGGGTTATGGAATCCCCATCATTGGAGGTTTTTAAGAACAAGTTAGACGAACACCTGTCGGGTGGTCTTAGGTAGACTTGTCCCTGTCCTTTCCCCCCTCCCCCCCGGGGAAGAAAGAAGGGGTGATTGGACGTTGATCTCTGGAGGTCCCTTCCAGCTCTACATTTCTATGATGCTGTAAACTTAAATGAATCTGGCTCCCTTTTTTTTCTTGGATACAGTGAGGATTTATTAATCTTTCTTTGGAAGTTTACACACGACTCCAATAATCTCCCATGCAAAGTAAAACATGCATTAAAAACAGACCCCAAGAATCTTCAAAATGAAATATAAAGGACTTCCAAAATATTGTTTTCTTTTCTTTTAGATTGCTGATTCTAAGGATGAGCTGGTTATGTTCAGAAGCTCTCAAATTGATCCAATATTTTCAGCAAGCAGTACTAATCCAAGTAAATCGGTGTCACAAAAGGTATGGGACGCACAGTATGTTTCATAAGAGTGTAAAAAATACCTGTGTACAAACTATTTTGAAGATTTTCTAGAGCTCACTACAAATCTATGTTTGAATTCTTGGTGGGAATCAGAAAGATTAAAATGCCTTGACTTCTCTGTTAATTAGAGAGACAAGGTATTTACTGACCAGTTGGTAAACCGATATGATTAATAATGTTTATGAAACATACTTCAGGCACCGTGGGCCAAATTTTTCCCGGTATGTGTCCACCAAAGTAATTGGTCATTAAACCAGGTATGCATTTGGCCCATGTGTGATTTTTCATATTTACAGATGATATCTACTAGATAAGTATAGATAGTCATGATATTTCAATTATTTTAATCAAACTTTTCTGAAATTTGGACTTTTCTAGCATTCAGCATTTTCATAGTAGCCTTACAAGCTAAAGTGATTAAATGAACTGAAGTAGTCAAAATTCCTGTTACTTCTTGACACTAATTGCTTGAATATGGTTTGCTATGTCATCCTTATTAGTGATTACCAAACTATATGCCAGTTTGAACCAGATTACTCCTGAGTGTCTTCCCTAACTAGAAATGAGTCAGCCTGACATTGAGTGGAAAGCTCCCAGCTGGTGGAAATTTTGAGAAACTGAAACCAATTATAGTACAGGAGGCTGAGCAAGCAAGACATAGATCAGCTTTTTTTTTTTTTTAAATTGGGGATTAACTTCTTTCCCTCTGAACTTGTTGTATGTTTCAGTGCACGGCTCTCTTGGCACCCTATCTTATAAGAAACCAAAAAAACCAGAAAGAATGAAGTCATTTGGAATTGGTCCTCCCACTTTTGGGAAACAAGAGTCCAGATGTAAACAGACAATATTAACTACAGGATAGTTTGAACATGTGATAGCTTAGGTGCCAAAAAGCTGCTGATTTGTTACTGGAGGGCATAAAGTTGTAAGTCAGAAAATAATTGGATGATCACAAGTATATTTGTTGAATGTCAGTTATTTTTCTGAAGAAACCATAGGGGGAAATTACCTAAATTCTTTGCAAATTACATCCGTTTGAAATCTATAAAGGGAAAACATTACTATATTAAAAAATTCAATATGTAGCATAATGATACTGAGTTCTGCAGCAACACTGAGACTCTGATAATACTTTACTTGTATAAATGTTGCCTTCCATTCTAGAATTCCAATGTACTTTATGCACAGCAATTTAGTCTTATCACCCCCCAGTGAAGTGTATCACCCATTTAGCGATGAAGAAACTGAAATGAATGACTTGCCCGAGACCACAGAGGAAATCTGTGATAGGTTTGGGAATGGAATCCCAACTCAGAGAGAGAGTTAAATTCTCCCTAGTGTCACAAAATTAAAGTACAATTCTACATGGTACTGAAGGTATATTCTTGGCCAGAAGAGGCACTGGATTTAGGAGATCTGGACTGAATTCCTAGCTCTACCAGGAAGTAAGTAAATAAGTGTGTGTGTGTGTGTGTGTGTGTGTGTGTGACTGACTGACTGACTGACTGACTTTGGGCAAGATACTCAATATCTCTGTGCCTCAGCTCCCTGTCTGTTCAATGGGGATAATGCTTCCCCATTGATGCTATGAGAACATTTATTATCTCTGTTGCCGTATCTATAGGGTTTCGTTTGGTGCCTAGCACCAGAGTATCAGAATGTGTTCCACATAAAATCAGTAGCAATAGTGAAGTCTCTAGTGGACTTCATGGAGTTTCTGGCACTTTTTCCTTTTGGGGTAAAAACTCAGTTTGGGGTTAAATTAGTGAATGTTGGTGAGGTGCAGCAAAGGGGGCTATATGTATACTTAGACAGCTAAAAGGAGTTATTTTGATGCATTAATAGAACTGAGGGGAAGCTTGCAAAGTAGGAAGCAAGGCAATCAGTCCTTCACTTTCCTTTTTTCATGAAATGTGCAAAGAACATTTAAAGAAGGGGGTTGGTAGAATTTAATTAAATCAGCATTCAGTGAAATTCATGCTTCTCTAAAGATACTGGCCTATATCCTCAGCTACGGCTGAGAAACATAAATTCCAGCTTGGCAGGTGTGTGTGCGTAAAACTGGCCTTTGTGCTACTTTCATTCTAGGCCATCTAAGGGCTACCCTAAATTATGCCAGCTGCTGAAAGCCCCAAGAGGCAGATGTGGCAGCAGTGATTGCCAAGAAAAGGGAGCCCTAGCCATGCCTAACTTTTCCCCAGCTAGACATCCTACACTAGGATGACCCTTTTGTACCTGGCTACAGCAGATTTTTGTATGACCGTGTCTAAAATGCAAAATAGCTGAACACAAAATCAAGGCTACAATCTATATAGGATCCTCATTACAATAAGATCAGCAGAACTCCTTTAGCTCTTAAGATTTTTATGATCCGTGAGGGCAGCAGTAGTGGGATAAAGTATTGCCCCCTATTAGCAGTCGCACACAACTCACTGCTGAGTATAAATGCTGCCCTTGGGACATTCCAGTCAATTTCTTCTTGATCACAGTCAGTAAAGGAGTTCCCTTAAGAAACTGCACCTGATTGGCCATCACTCCAGCTCTTCACCAATTCCAACGATGCCTTGCCAGGTAACCTTTCATATCTGTTGGCTCTTCTTTGAGTGATGGTCCCTATGGCCTTCCACTGAGGGTTACACATGCACACCATGCGTTTGGAGCTGGAGAATTTGAAAGTAGTATCCGTTGGTCCGCACATGCGCCCTGGCTCACCTTGTGCTTCCATCCATGGCGATAAAGAACAGGGTGGACTCACCACATCTCCAGTTCCTTGTCGCCACCACATGGTCCTGGTCAGAACTTTCAGTGTCCATGTTTCTGACGCACTTTTAAATACGATGGTTGTACATAGTTTTATGAGTTTTATAATAGCTTTACCAATTTATTGTAGTTTTAGTGCTTAGTTTAGATTGATCTGGGGGGTTTTCTTCTTCATCATTCCTCCCCACATTCATTCCATCCCCCCCCCCCCCCGCGCACTTCCCTCCATACCCGCGAGCAAGTATTAGACTATGCCCAGGACTCCAGGCCTCAAACTCTGTGCCTCCTGCCTGCTCTCCTTCTCGGTCAGCACCAACACCCTCTCTACTGCTTGGGGGGAGCTCAGAGTGCATCCAGGTGCAGTATTTGCCAGTCCTTCCCTAGCCACACCCAAGAAGGCCAGGCTCTGCTTCCAGAAGCACTTCATGGAGCTAGCCATGAGGCCTCATTCGGACTTAGGCCAGGGAACTCCCCCATACATCAGCCTGAATCAGCACAGAGCACACCTATTGCTACCATATCCAAATCTGGTGTCGGGGGAACCACCACCATGTACCCCATGGTGGGACCTAGTCAGGAGATAAGGAAGTATACCCATAAGCATGGGACTAAGTCTTCCTCAAAATCAAAGAAAGTGGACACGCCTTCCATGACTTCAAGCCATGGAGACGGAACTTGCGCTAAATCCTGTAGGCATGAGAAGAAATCCCACACATGGTGGGAAACGGCTGTTCCCAGCACCACTCCACCAGTACTGTCATCACTGGCATAAGATGTGGGATCCTCCCTTTCTGGGAAGGTCCATGGTGCTGGCACCAATACAAATCAAAGAGAGGGTGCCTCCATTTCTAGAGAGATTATTTCTCTGCCATGGGATATGCCCTGGGTATAGGACCCCTCACCATCCATTCCAATAATCTGCACCTTTCCGATGGTACTGCCATTTGAACTGGAGTCCGCATTCTCCTCCTCCAAAGAATCAGAAACAGGAGAGAAGCTGACCGTGTCATATCACCCCTACATACCTTCATGGAGACAGTCACATCTATAGCAGCATCCACCACTTCAACCATATCGGAGCCATTGGCACCCCATGCCATACCCCACAACCTCCCTAGGATCCATCCTATTGGTCATATTGGGGACTCTGGTCCCAATTTCACCCCCTTGGAACCATCCCAGTCTAAGAGGGAATATTCGCCTGCCTCCCCTCTGTGGGTTCCTGCTCAGATCCACTGGGAGAGGAGGAACTCCTTAGTCCAGTCCCAGCGGTGCTGCCAGAACCGGTGAGATTTCACTCTTCATTTCCAGATGAAGTGGTTACTGCAGCATCCCCTTCTCTTCCGGATGACTTCAAGCAATTTCAGAAACTGTTGCAGAGAGTCGCGAGGGAACTCCAAATTCCCCTGCAAGAAATCCAAGGCACCCAGCATAAGCTACTTAATATCCTCCACACCTTGGGACCAGCCAGAATTAAATTGCCAATTAATGACGCTATTCTGTCCTGGGAGGCTCCAGTGTGGCACACCCCTGCACATGCACAGCTACCCCCCCAAAGTGGTCAAAAAACATTGCTATGTTCCTGCCAAGGGGTCTGAGTTCCTTTTTTCTCACCCTTCTCCAAACTCCCTAGTTGTCCAGGCAGCGACTGAACAAGCCAAGCAATATCACCCTTGATCTACAGCAGCCAATAAGGAGGGCAAGCATTTGGACCTTTTGGGGTGCAAGGTATTTTTCTTGTCTAGCCTTCAATTCAGGATTGTGAACAATCAGGCATTACTAGCCAAGTACGACTTCCTGAATTATAGTAAATTTGAGGAATTTACTGATAGTCTGCCACAACATGATCAGGCTCGTTTTCAGGTGCTTCTTGATGAAGGGAAGCTGGTAGCAAGAACAGCCCTCCAGTCGGCAGTAGATGCAGCAGATACCTCCTCCGTGGCCATGGCTATGGCCATAGTCATGCATAGGGAGTCTTGGCTCCATTTCTCTGGTTTCCCATGGGAGATACAGAACTATTGAAGATCTCTCGCTTTCAGTGAATCCCATTTTTTTAACCAGAAGATGAAAGAATCACTGCATATCCTCAAGGATTCCAGAGCCATCCTTCACTCTCTCGGCATCCACACTCCTGCCCCAAAGTGCAAATTCCACCGCCCACCATCCAGCCAACTATGTGGGCCCCCCCATTCTACCTTCAGAGACCTGATGAGCCCCC